TAAATAAATAAACTGCAAACATATGTACTTTGACCGAAACATGATTGCCGGATCAATATGGAATTGATAGAAACTGCAAAACACAGCTTTTACAGCATACCTCTAACAATCTCCCACTTATGCTTTATAAGCTCATAGCTAAACAAAAATAACAACAATTTCTTTCAATCTAATTCTCAAAGACTAGTCTCCTATGTTGCCCTAACATCTGACTCCCATTCCTTCTACGTGTCTCGTAAAGACTTCCGCCAGTAGGCTCTTCGTAAAAGGATCTGCTAGGTTGTCCTCTAATTGTATCTTGGCAACAACGACTTCTCCTCGTCCAACGATTTCTCGTATCAGGTGGTACTTGCGCTCTATGTGTTTACTCGCTTTATGAGTCCGTGGTTCCTTCGAATTTGCTAATGCTCCGCTGTTATCACAGAACACTGTGATTGCAGCAGAAAAACTCGACACCACGTCAAGGTCGAGGAGAAAATTCCTGAGCCAGACAGCTTCTTTCGCTGCCTCTGAGGCTGCTACATACTCAGCCTCCATGGTTGAGTCCGCTACGCATATCTGCTTGACACTCCTCCATACAATGGATTCTCCTCCTAAAGTAAACACAAACCCTGAGGTTGACTTGCTTTCGTCCCGGTCTGCCTGAAAGTCAGAATCGGTGTAACCCAACGGAAGCAACTCATATGCCTGGAAAACCAACATGTACTCCTTAGTCCTACGAAGGTACTTGAGTATATGTTTTACCGCAGACCAATGTTCCAGCCCTGGATTACTCTGATATCTTGCTACCATGCCCACGGCATAACAAATATCAGGTCGCGTGCACAACATTGCATACATGAGGATTCCTACTGCCGAAGCATAAGGAACTGCCTTCATGTCCTCTATCTCCTGAGGCGTCTTCGGGGACATCCTCTTAGATAGAGGTATTCCATGTTGAAAGGGCAAATCCCCTTTCTTGGAATCCTGCATGTTGAAACGCTTTAGGACAGTGTCTATGTATGTGGATTGGGATAGACACAACTTTCTCTTCTCTCGGTCGTGCATGACCTTGATTCCGAGAACATGTCCTACTTCACCCAAATCCTTCAAATCAAACTACTTGGATAACCATACCTTTACTCTGACAACATCTTCACATTGTTTCCAATGAGAAGAATATCATCCACGTACAGTACTAGAAACACCACCACGTTTTCATCACTTTTCTTGTACACAGTGCTCATCCGGACATTGGGAAA